CCATTCAAACCTCATTAGAAATAGTCTTCTGTCAATAAGTCATTCTTAAGAAAAGGACAGGGTGAGAAGAGGCTGAGATATGCCAAATGACATAGCAACAAGTCTGATCGAGGGATGGATCCTTTGCCAAGCCCAGACCCCCTACTTCAGTAAACGGTGTGTGAGTGGAATGAAAGGCGGCCAACACCAAAGAAGAATTTGGGATAACCTTCAAGAATCCTGGGCCATTATCCCTGAAGACTACTTAAATGAATAAATGGGAGCTTGTCCAAGAGATGTCAAATATTTCTTTTCAAGTTTGTCAGAATTGTTTTACATTTATGTTTCTCTCATGTTTTAATAATTCTCACTTATGCCCCCATTTAAGTCCCATAACTTATGTAATGACATAAGTTATGGGACCTAGATGGCTACACAGCAATGTGCATCATGGCACATGCACAGAGCAAGTCATGTAGTTGAAAAGGATGCCCACAGCTCATTAGTAACTCTCTCAAGCCTTTCCGATAGAGGCAGAGAGAAGATGTATGTTATTTATAAACAATGGTTCCATCTTTTCTTTAGAAACGGAACATAACTCCGGATGTCCTGCAGCATCTTCTAGAGACCAGGGTGTCAGAGCACATGGAGGACTGTTTGCACAACCCCGTTTTCTCTGTAGCTATCAACGCAGAAGCAGAAGCATTACCCAACCTGATGATAAGCTGTAAGGTACACAAGTGTTTCACTTCACCGCCATCAGAATGTGAAACATTGGTTTGTGATGAATGGCAGGCCTTAAATGGAGTTGAACTATGCGTGTTTCTTTTCTCTGCTTTCAGGTCTGTGACTACCTCTCTGTTGTCCTGTAAAGGCAGGCGTTGTCGTCCCAAGTGACTCCTAAGATCTGAGCTTTTTGTTCCCTGTGTATATTTTGTGAAATAAAGCATGTTTTTACTTTGTATCCCATGCCTGAATGCTGTCCCCTAAATATCAACCTTCCCTTGCCAGTCATCTGTAGACAGTCAAATTAAAGTTACAGTTAAATCTTTTTAAGTACCTACTCACAAGAAACTTGTCTCCAGTGCTTCCAAGAAACCTGTGTAGTACAGTACTCTGCAACTCAAGAGGTTTTCAAGTTTATGCTTCTGGAATGTGAAATGCAGAACTTGGTATTGAGGCCATCTCTATCAAAGTCAGTAAGTGCCTTTAGAAAACCAGTATGCTTAAAAAAAATCTGTATAGCTGGAGAAGAACGGAGAAAAGTGGTTGAATTATATTTAATTTCCTTAAACGAGTTTTGCACAGTGTAGCCCCTTTGTGCTTGTGCATGGACTACTTTGTCTTTAGCAACTTGAATGTAAATATAAAAGTTCTGTCCTAGTCAAATTGGATATAGTATGGACAAATTAAAAGTCTTCACTGAAGCTTGGTGTAACATTAGTTTGTGTAAATAACCTTTCTGAGGCACTGTATTTTGAAACATCAATTACGATTGATATGAGAGTATAGCAGGCTGTAAAAGATGTACCGTGATGATTTAGTAAGCATTTACATTGCCATATAGTATGGCTAAATCAAAAGCTTTCACAGAAGCTTGGTGGTATATTAGATAAGGGCTCGGTCAACAGGTGACGTACACGGGAGCTATTCTGGATAATGTTGATGTAGAAGTACTTGTAAGCAATTAGTTACTTGATGCCACCAGTAGGGGGAGGCATCGTTCAGACCATGATGTGAACGACCTACCCGGAAAACAATCTGGTGGAGAGAGCAGAGGCAGGCAGCGGAAAGATGGCAGCCGCGGCTGTGGCTGAGTTTCAGAGAGCACAGTCTCTTCTTGGAACTGACCGGAATGCCTCTATCGATATCTTACACTCAATAGGTAAATATAGCCGCCACATCACGGCCCTTGGAAAAGAGTAATTTTACGCTCAGAAACAAAGTATTCACTTTTGTCCATCAGTCATTAAGCTGTCGAGTTAGCCAGCGTCGTTAACCAGAAGCAAAGCTAAAGTGTGTTAGCTAGCACAGTGCTGTCCATCTCCCTTTTCTCCCTTCATGCACAGTGAGTCAGCAGCAGTGGGCTAGCCGGTTAGCAGCATACCGACTAGCTCACAAGATAAGCTAACATTAGCTGACTTCTCTCATTCATTTAATAGGAATTTCAGTGATAGTTGGCTAGTTACTGTAAGCTAGCGGCCAGACGCAAATAGCAGCTACTAGTCCGTCTTGTTTAATATCAGGCTGATTAAAAAATTTCTGTGAACTGAGTTGGTCAGATAACACTTAATTTGTTTCAAGTTTTAGGGTACGCCAGTTTAATCAATAGCTCTTAAATATTTCTGCCAAATGGTAGCCTTGTAGCGGGCATTTCTTTTTGTTGTCCAGTTTGACTCCTGATATTTCGCAGCTTTGTTAGCCATTTGGCTACCTGCCATCCAGCCCTGTCAAAATCGCGATGTAACACTGGTATTTACTTTTGTTTTGTATTTGTGTGTCTCAGTGGTCTGAATATGTTTTTGATTACATCACAATAACATTCGCGTGTATTCTAGTGAAGCGGGACATCCAGGACAGTGATGAGGAGGCACTGCGTGTTAAAGAGCAGAGCATCCTGGAGCTGGGGGGGCTGCTGGCGAAGACGGGGCAAGCTGCAGGTAAACATTGGGTTTCATTAATACTTAAACACACTATTTTGATTTGAGATTTATTGAGGAAGTTAAACAGTGAGCCCTGAAAGTGGAATATTTATTTAAATATAAAACATGTTACATTGTTTAAATGTTCCTGACTGCAAGCAAAGTGTTGAAACCATCAGCCACATTGATGTGACAATAAAGGAAATCAAAAATACTTAATGCTCCTTTTGCTGACACTCTCCCATTTTTAATAAAATACAACAGTTAGCGGAGTATAGTGGCTGAAGTGGCCATTGATAAAACATTGCGAGGAGAAAGTGAATTGCATTTTGCTGACTCATGTTTCCATTCAGTGCAAGTGGCTCATTTGATCCAAAACAACTGAACAAAATGGAAAAAAGGAACTGAGAATGCCTCAAATCTCTGCTAACTCCTAAAATAAGTCAATTTCAATGGAGTTAATGCTATATGTGTCTGTCAATTAGCCTTGAGCTTTACATCCTCAACCTTCTCCTCAGAACTTGGAGGTCTTCTGAAGTATGTTCGCCCCTTCCTTAACTCAATCTCCAAGGCCAAGGCAGCCCGGTTGGTTCGATCCCTGCTGGATTTGTTTCTGGACATGGAAGCTGCCACAGGTCAGGAGGTCGACCTCTGCTTGGAATGCATTGAATGGGCCAAAGCAGAGAAGAGGACCTTCCTCAGACAGGCACTAGAGGTGAGCCTTGTGTTAAACACCCCACATTTGTTCCCACCCTCTGCTAATACTCAGGTTAATTTTAGGAGAGAAAACCGATTTTGTCTTTTAAAGTTCAATAAAGTTCTTGGGTAAAACTGCTCCAAATGTAACTTTTTTTTTATTCGGTGACCAGAAGTGAAATTATGATTATGGCCACATTAAAAAAAAAAAAAAGTTTTGGAATTTATTAGGAGATTAAAGTCATCATAAAATATTGCGAGAATTGATTACCAGATTAAAGTTGTTATTAAATATGGCAAGAATAAAACCCCTCTGAATGGCCCGCATCTGCATAACCCTGCAGTTGACCACTTCCAGCCATATCTCCCTCCACAGAAGCAGCAATTTCCTAAAGTCCTCCTGGTTCTTTCTGCAGAAAACATGCATTTTCTTACATGTTGTTTTTAATATCCTGATACTTATGACAATCTGATTCTGATGTGCCTAAATAATAAGTATATTCTTGATTGTGAAACCTATTCTAAAGAGCATTTTCAAGAATTCCATACTCCACGACCCTCATTTTATCAACTCTCATTTACCAAGACAGGATAGAATATTAATGACTTTATTCTCGTTATTTATTCTAGCCATATTTAATAACGACTTTAATCTCGTAACCAATTCCAAAAAAATTTCTTTAAGATGTGGCCCTGAAATAACCAATGGCTTTTTTTTTCTTTTTTAGAAATCTTTTTTTCTGGAGCTGAAAGATAAAACCAGCCATATTTCTTATAGATCTAAAGTGGCACATTTCTCCACAGTTGTGTGTCTTCAATCGCCGTAGCAGTCTGCTGCTTCTTGAGCTTTATTCACTTAAAATCTGCTCATCTTATAACACTTAAGCTGAGTTTGAAAGTGTTCAGCAGGCTTCTTTGTTACATTTTTTCTGTCTATACTTACCCTAAGATGTTCTAACTTTTTATCAAACACATTATCCTGTCAACCAACGTCTCTTTTGTCTTTAGGCTCGACTCATCTCCTTGTATTTCGACACAAAATGCTACCAAGAAGCACTACAACTTGGTGAGTAGTGACTTAAGGACAGATGTAAAGATGAGTGAAAAGTGTCGAGAGTTTCAGCTTGAGCATCTTGTTTCAAACGTGTGTCTTGACTCAGCTGCATTTCCTCCTCTGCTATCCAGGCTCCCAGCTACTGCAAGAACTAAAGAAGATGGATGACAAGGCTCTACTGGTTGAGGTACAGCTGCTGGAGAGTAAGACCTACCACGCACTCAGTAACTTGCCCAAGGCCCGTGCTGCCCTCACTTCTGCCAGGACGACCGCCAACGCCATCTACTGCCCTCCGAAACTACAAGCAGCTTTAGACATGCAGTCAGGTACCACTCCCGAGTTTGTAGCCGCTGTGACTAATTGTTTAATCTTTTATAGTAATCAATAAATTGATTTTTCGAATGATCGGACAACTTTGTCTGATTTGTCAGTGATATAGATGGGTAAGAGCTGTACTAATTATGCAAAGCAGTCAATAACAAGTACACATTTCAGTAAACATTGTTTTGCTTTGCCCCTTTTAGCTGCTCAAGATTCCAATTTTAAAAAGTGACAACAACATTTTAATTTTGTTTTCCAGTACTTGCATGAATAGTAACCAACAAAAAGGTACATATTATTTATTTAAAATAAACAAAACAAACTATTTGAATGAGGGGAAAAAACATTCTGATCAGACTGAACAGAACCCCCTACCAGTAATCCAAAATAACTAATTCTGCACCAGAAACCGTCATTTCAATAAACCATCAAATGAGATTTCATTAAATATTAATTTTGTATTTTTTTTCAGTAACAAAGCAACATGAATAAATATTGAAAAATTTCATGTAAAGTTCATATTTGTTTGTATTTATGTATACACATATATATATACAAACACATATGGTCTTTTTTCTTTATTTTAGATAATAGTACCCTCTTAAAAAGCATCTTGTTAGTAAAAGACTTGACCTATTTGTCATGAATGGTTAGGACTTTCAATATTTGACATTTATTTGTACCGCTGGTAAAGTTAAGACAGTTTGAACAGATGAAAAACACGTCGCCTTGGGTCCGCTGCCTGTGCTAGAGGTTCTTTTGATATGCTGACTCCATAGTCTTCTGCCAATATCAAACACACATGTTTTTCTTGTCTATGTCACCCAAGTTTTAATAAGTTATAAATGACCAGAAATTAAATTGACTGAATTCATTTTTAATTTTGTTCTTCGAATAATGGAGTCCATTGATGATTCATACCTGCTCCACCTGAACCAAATTAAGTTAACTCAACATTAACACATGTTTGGGTGTGCTTTTAGGGATCATTCATGCAGCAGAGGAGAAAGACTGGAAGACAGCATACTCCTACTTCTACGAGGCCTTTGAGGGCTACGACTCCATTGACAGCCCCCGAGCCATCACGGCTCTCAAGTACATGCTGCTCTGCAAAATAATGCTCAACGCGTAAGTGACACCTGCTCAGCTGAGAGCTTTTTAACTTGAAAGGTTTTAGGACTCAAGTGAAATCCAGTGTACTGAGATAAATGTTCTTTTTTCATTTACTGGATTTTTACGGACTTCTTTTCAGGCCCGAGGACGTTCAGGCGCTTGTCAGTGGAAAACTATCCCTGCGGTACGCAGGCAGACAGGTATGGATCTGCACAGCTTTATAAGTTAATCAAAAATGTTTGAGGTGAACAGAGAATTTAACACCCTGTCCAGCTTCTTTCCTCCATGGGAAACTAGCACCCCACACATTGTTTGGTTGTTAACAAAAGATTGGACCATGCAGCAATGTGGAAAAAAGTTGTATTATTTGATGAGTGCAGAGAGAGAGAGACGAGAGCATGAGAAGAAGAAAAGTCCCATTGGGACTTGTGAAAAAGTGATTCAGGGAGATCAAAACATCATTATATATGGGTTGTTTTTTGAGCATTTCTTGGTTGGTCATTTAGTTTGGTAAAAAATCAAGCCTTTCTTTTTTTTACCTATTTATTGTTTCTTACTTTTCCCTTACAGACGGACTCTCTGAAATGTGTCGCTCAAGCCAGCAAGAACCGGTCCCTCGCGGATTTTGAAAAGGTTGCCAGCCCTATGCTTTTTTTTTTACCTGTCCTTAATGATACTTTAGTGTTATCCCTACCTTAATTGTTTACAAATGTCAATTTGTCAACTTTGTTAAGGCTCTGACAGAGTACAAAGCAGAACTGAGAGATGACCCCATCATCAGCACCCACCTTACAAAGCTGTATGACAACCTGCTGGAGCAGAACCTCATCAGGGTCATCGAGCCTTTCTCCCGGGTTCAGGTAACCCTTCCCATCAACTCATTCTTATCAGTTCCCGATTAAAATGTACTTAATCGTTGTGTGTTTGCTTTGTTAACAGATATCACACATCTCCTCCCTGATTAAACTCCCAAAGGTGAGTTTAATCAGTTCTGCATCCACATGCTGCCTACCCGTTTAAGATTGTTTCTCTGGATTTTATGTGAGAAGGATTCAGACAAATTGTTTGTATCTTGCAGCGAGATGTGGAGAGGAAGCTATCCCAGATGATTCTGGATAAAAAGTTTCATGGTATGCGAAAACGAGACCAACGTTTTTTCCTCTGGAAATGTGCAGTTTCTTTCACCTGTTTTCATTTGCTTCCTTTTTTGCCTGACAGGTATTTTGGACCAAGGTGAGGGAGTGCTGATTGTCTTTGAGGAACCAATGGTGGACAAGACGTATGAGGCGGCACTGGAGACTATTCAGAACATGAGCAAAGTTGTTGACTCACTTTACAACAAAGCAAAGAAGCTTACATAAGGTAACGGTCACTTCCTTTTTTTCGTGATTTTTTTCAATTTTTCACCAAGATGTTTTGTGTTGTGTTTCTTTTTGGTTTTTCATTTTTCAGTCATGGAAAACATATGGAAAGTAATCCCAAGCTATTGCAAACCTGTATATCAGCAGCATTGAAACAATTCATTCAATCAAATCTGTGGGTCAATCTATTGCCTTAGATATTTTAGCAATAATTAGCTCCTTTTCATACGCCAAAAGCAACCTGGTTCCCAAAAAAAAGTTTTCCAGGTAACTACGCTAATCATTTTTTTAGCGTATTCCTCACCTATTATATTCTACGACGTGAGAAACAGAAAATTGGTGAATCAAAATTACCGTGTTAACAATTCATTCATATTGAATTACTCTGGTGGTCTTAAGATAATTTATTTCCCAATTGAAAGAGCATGCGAAGAGTGGCAGCCATGAGCCAAGTATTCAATGAAAAGCATATGTTCATTTAAATTCCCAAACAGGATGTGTTGAAGCGCTTGGATTCAATAATTAAGACATAAAATCACTTCTCATTTAACTTTTTGATGTTTCATTCAGTTGGCCCTGTTCACATTAACCATTCATCTTAGATTGGACCCACAATAGGGGAAGGTGACCATAACGTGGATATAAATATCAGTGCTAAAGCATATCAGTCCTTCAGGTGCTTTCCCACATATCTCATCATGTAACATTTCTTGTTTATATGTAAAGCAAACAGTTTTTTTAATGCATTTTTAGAAACAAAAAAGAAAAATAAATCTACTGAGGTATTCACAGACAATTTGTGATCAGCACAATCATCAAGCAGTCTGATAAAGATACATTGGACAGCATTAACTTTGCCTTGAATTTGGCAAATAGGTTCGGTGGTGCACCTGCAGATCCACTATAACTGTAAGGCTACGTTCACACTGCAGCCTGAATGACCTGAATCAATTTTTTTTTGCCATCTTGTGACCTGTATCTGATTTTTTTTCATGAAAGTTTGAACAACAGAGAAAATTTGACAAATGCCACCCAATTTGTTCCATTATTCCTTACACTGGCCTGCAATGTTTGGCCCAGCAGAGCCCTGCTGGTTTAAGTGTTTTTTCTATTACAAATTACAGCCGAAGTGAGGCGCATGATGTCATTCAAGGACGGGGCGACAGCTATAAACCAACTAAACCTCTGTGATGGAAAGTGGTGTTGGTTTGTGTTTACAATAATTATTATCACAGAAAGAATTAAATCAGACGTCCATTGTTGCCACATATTTAAAATAAGCGTGGTTAACCTGATGGAGTCGGTATCTAATGATGTGACTTCATAGCCAATCAACGCCCGGCAATCTGCCTGTTTTGGCCCTACTCAGCTCCGATGGAACCAAGAGCTGAGTAGGTGCAAAAGTTGTAACTGTTTATCGGGGCCGGACCCTTGTGGATATGCAAAAATACTGCGTAGAGCAGTGTTGTGCTGCGTTGAGTAGACACTACTGGAAAAGCGCCATTGGATGTGTGGTCCTATATCCGATACATATCTGATCTTTTCAAATCTGACCTGTGTCTTGTACAGCCAGGTCGAATTCATGAGATCTGCACGTCATTGATACTCGACAAACGGCAATGTTCTGCATCCTGCTATGCGGAGAGAAAAAAAATGTTTTTTGAGTTGATTAGTACCCGTAGCCTGACCTGGCTATGGACCTGCCTTTGCCACTAAAGTTGGCTATTGTATCATTACAGCTGCTCATTTCAGTATCCCATCAGTCCTGGCTTTGACCCTGAGCCCACATGTTTCTATGTACGGATTTGTTGCGTTCCCTACCCTGTCTGCCACTGGAAGACCCTAAACCACAGGAAAAGTATAATGGCAAATTTGATTGGTTTTGAAGTCCTACTAAAACTAAATTTTGGTGGATGGAAGCAGATGAAAGCACTGATCAGAGCCTGGAACTGCAACTCTAAGACTTAAATAGCGTTTTGTCTTTGATTAAGAGGACGGTCAAAAGAAGCCAAAGTTGTTAACCTTGGTGGGGTTTTTTTTAGCAACTTACATTTTTTACGCATTTTTCAGGTGAGGAAAAAAAAAGCAATATAATAATATAAACACAATATTCAACAAAAACTTTTTTCCAAAGCTTTAAATCCAATGTAACAAGGTAACAATGTGAATGCACAAACACTTGAAACTCTGGCCCACTCAAATGAAACACATGTTCACTTAAGCTACTTCAAACGCTTGACACTTTATTCTGTCAAGCTTTAGAGCGTAACTCTGACACACATGTCATTTTTCTATGTTTTGTGGTTTTATGGTCCAAATTGCTCTTAACCCCTTCCAGTTCTGATGTTCTTTTTTTTAAAATGGTCGTTTACCCAGAAATGTGCGTGCAGGTCAAGCTGCTTATTTTTCATGGTATGATTTAATCCTGTTGGACATGACGACCAAACGACCCGCTGGACTTGACTCTGGCTATAAGTTCCTTTTGAAATATGAGGCTAGACCGAATGCTGCCATGGCTTTTATGTTTAAAAAGATAAATTATTGAGTGTGTACGGAGTTAGGAAACATTGCGATGTCATCAATTCTGTCATTTGACCTGTACGTTTAATGACTTGTCACGGTCCTCAGTACCCAGATCACCTCGGCCCTCAGTGTTGGGGTGGAGCCACATGTTGATCGGATGCCTGACAATGTGTGTGGTTGTTGGCCAGACTAGGGCTTTGCATATTCTTCTCTGCCAACGGTGGTAGCACAAAATTCAGTTGAAGCTGATGTTGGTGGGCTGTGGCAAATGCAACATGCTTGCTGCTCCCTATATATATCCACTGCTTTGATCCCCATTGTGCCCAACGTAAAACATCTGAAGCAAACATCACAGTATGCCTCACAGTTTCGGGCCACTACAAGAAAGTTGAGTCTTCAAGCCATTTTTCACAAAATTTACATTTACCCATATTTGCTTACCTTTTGTCAACATTGTCCAGCATCCAGCAATGATGTCAGGGTTTCCAAATCTTACCGTTTCCATCCCAAACATGATGCATAACTTGCCAAACTCATTGAAAAGTGTAATGTCTTCAAAAGTACACCGATTGGAAGGACACCCAATCTGGCCATGCTGACTGAGGTGTCAGCAAGCACGGCAACCAGTAACAGATTTAGAGCCTGAACTGCAGGTTCCCCTCAAACCAATTAAATAAACTTTTATTCTTTAAGTGTATAAAATATTTAATTGTATGACTGGAGAAATTCTCTCTAAAATTATGATTGAAATGTATGTCCATTGAATTGAGATTTTAGACAAATTAAAGATATTTTCAGGACTTATTTGAGGGAAACTAAATTTAAGACTTTTTAAGAACCAGTGGCCATGCTCCATACTCTGCAATATCTGTTTTTCATGTTGTACAAAAACTACCAAAAATTTTCAGGCAAACGCCATTGAAGTTTTTACAGTCTGTTTAAGACTTTCAACACAATCTAACTCTTTTTGTCTCCAAATAAACCCAAACTTCTAAATGACTTCAGCCATCAGTGACTGGTCTTAGTTTGGGGTGTTTTTTTTATTAAATAAAACTCAGAGATTGAGTTTGTACACGTCAGTAAAATATATTTTTTGTCCTCAGAGAAAGCGGAACCATCTGTCCGCCTGACCGGAGTGACGTGGGCCAGTCGGCTCTCCCGCCAATTGCTCACCTTAATCTTGGAGGGACGAGGGGAGGACGATGAGGATATTACAAACACTCAACAACCCAGCAAGCAAATAAACCAGCCGTCCAAATGAAGCTGACCCAACAGAACAAAAATCTGAGTGTGCGGACTCCTCCATCAGCTGTCTTCTCTCCTCCCTCCTTTCTGTCACTGTCTCTTCCTCCCTCTTTGATCGGGGTTTCAGACACACAGTGCTCCCCTTGTGGACCAATCCTGGCACTGCACCCTTCTTTTCTTCCTCCTGCTGGTTTCTACTGTATGTAAAATTGGACAAGCCTTTTCCTTCCCTCCTCCCACTACTTTTTTTTCCTTTTTTGTCTCTGCGCTGGCCATCAGGGAATGTTGTAATATAACAATAAAGAATACATATACAGTACTTATACCTACATGTATCATAAAAAGAATGTTGGGTGTGTTCTGGAAGCCAGGGAATGGCTGGTTGGTCAGTCTGTACCAATTCTGTTCTCTGTACCAACCAGCCCTCAGATCTCAATGTTAGCTTTTTTTCCGCAGTATTAGAAAAAATTAATGGAAAGGCATTGGAACAATCCCTACTTCAGTCCTCACCCTCAGTGCTGCCCACCTTTATACCCCCTCCCCCCTGACTGTTGTAACTCACCCACTCACAGAGCACCCTGGGATTGTGGACCTTACAGGGACCTACAACTCTTCTGTCCACTCGGGACCACGGGGGTTCCTCCCCCTCTGCACTCCTACCTGTTTGTATATAACATTACCAAGCGCCTCTGTCCATCCACGGCCTGATGCACTCACACTGTCCCTCTTTTTTTATAACGTGTAAGAACAGAGTTAAAAAACTTGCCTCTGAGAGCTTGGACGGTCACACAAAGTGCTTTTGAGGCTATTCTGTGAGATACAAGTTGGTTGTGTACCATAAAAGGCAGGTTTTGCTGAAGAAAAGTCAAGCTGTAAATTTCCTGGAACTTAATTTTGCAAGGACTTGAGGATTTACCACATATAACATAGAGGAAGACGAATGCTAATAAAAAAAAAAGAAACCTGTTAAGTTGTGTGGTTTCTTTGTAACGGTAATTCTCACTATTCTCTTTGTGTGCCTCTTTCAGGGTACTAATCATCGGGCCAGGAAAAGGCCTATGGTTTCATTTTCCCTGTGTATACTCGTCCCTAATTGCAAATGAGAGCAGTGATACTGTGCAGAAGTCTTCAGCCTCTCAATTCTTTACATGGAAAACCGGAAATATGTATTAACACTGGAAATACAAAAGTTTGTACAATTCAACAAGCTTGAATGTCAGTATTGTCTATGAGCGTCTTTATTCTCCAACTCTAAATGTGAACCTCTTGGACACACTTTTTTTTAAAACTTTAAATAGTTCCTCAGACTTTTTCAGGACATCTGAAAGGTCTTTTTGTTGTTTAGTTCTGTTCTCTGTCAATAATATCCAACACTGTACAATAACGTTCATGTCTCCCTCCATCAGGATTGCTGCAGCTGATTTTCAGTCCACTTCTCGTATCATTTAGTGTCGCTCAGCCTTTCATCCATGTTTCCCTTCCTGAAAATAATTCCTCCTTTACAGTCACCCTTCCATATAAAGAATTCTGATGAGGCTTGGGACAACAGTAGATGGTTCTCTGAGGTCCTGTGTTGTTTCTTTTTTTATTTCCCTTATTTGCCACAGACCACCAGATACTATTAATCAGTTTCAGTTCCTTTTGATATGCCATGTCTTTCACTAACAGCTCTTCAGGCACCACTTATTTAGTAAATGTCTAAATGCGAATTAGACTGTTAATCACATCAAACTTAAGAAAACGTGAAGTAAGGTTTAATTTTCAACTACTTGTCAATATTATGTGATTACCTGTAAAATACCAACGTATTTCCTCAAGTTTTGATTTTTATGCTTTCAGTATTCCCTGGAACTCTATTCTGCCAACAGTGACAGCTGGTGGCGAAGCTTCGTCATTGAGCTTGTGCCATTTAAATTCGTTTAAAGGAAGTAGATCAGGGTGTAAAGTGCCTCCTTCTGAAATTTACAAATAACAAAAAAGAAAAAAATCTTTTCTTTTGCTGTACAGAGACTGCAAACATTTTTCATATATAACATTCTTTAGGTTATATACAGCCATTTGTTATGTTTTTCCCAAAGGAATGCGAGAAACATCTCTGTGGGCCTTTCCGCACCCCTCACCCAGGGGCCACGTAGACACATCTAAATACATAAAGCCCCATTTAAAAGCTTTGATTTAACCCCCAACATTGGTTCTAAAACAGCACCTGGTCCTGTATTTGAATAAGAATGGGAGACACCACCTGAACGCTAATGCCCAAACAGTCCTTATCACAACCCCATTATGCATGATTTGGGTATCTACCTTGTGTTTCACATATTTGAGTCATTTAGTTTAAGGTAGTTCCAAGAGGACTTTCAAACTGAGTTTTGCCAACTGTTTATGTGCTCTGGTTCAAGCCCAAGAGGAGTCTTAGTGGAGGTTTCTGCGGGGAGAAGAAGGGAGCCAGACAGGCGACAGTCAGCACTCTCTTGGCTTGAGGGCAGAGGCAGAGCGAACAGGCGGGCCAATGAGAAAGAGACATACATCTCTTTCTGTCCTGCCTGGCTTGGCTCAGCTCGGCGCGCCCTGTAATTAGGATCTCCAGTTGGGTTGGGCGCCGCCCGCCACGGTGGACAGCCTGACTGCTGCGTCAAGGGAGTCTGGGAGCGCCAGCTCAATACTGCGCGCGAGAACAGCAGGAGTGACAGCAAACAGCAGAAACTACTAAAGGAGTCTGAAAATGAACGGGCAGACATCACCTGCTTTAGAGGAGAAGAAGCCCTCGATATCGGCCACTAAGGACTCCCCGACCCTGCCGGAGTCCTCCTCCACCGACATGGGGTTCTACAGTGGCATGAGCGCGCTTCACAGCTCGCAGGATTTTTATTCAGCGCAGCAGTCGTACTCAACCCAGCACATGAACCCGTACGCCTACCACCACTACAACCTGAACGCGATGGCTCCCGGTGGTGCCTACTCTGTTGGCAAGCCTGAGTACGCGTACCCCCCCTCAGCATACAGAGAGCACGGAGCCTTCAGCAGGGAGGTTCAGTCAGCGATGCAAGAGGGTGGTAAGTTAAAGCCAGCATCCACGTTATGGTCAGACAAGTCCAGTCAAGGAAAAAGGAAATTTCGTCCAAAGCCACTTTTACCGCCTTAAGATGATTTTTTTATAGGCTATGTCTTCTGTCCACATGTTAGCCACTAACTGCGCACTGAGATATTAAATAATTTTTTCTTTCCGTTTTCACTCCTTTTACAAAAAAGGATTAGTTTAATTAAAGTCCATACCAGACTTTCACCATTGACATACCTTTGCAAGAATCTCAAACTTCTGAGTTAAGATTTACCTGATGGGTACTTTCAAGCAATGCAAACACAATTACATAGAGCCGGGGAAGGAAGGCACTCTCTCCAACTTAAATAACTACTTTCTGGCAGCTTTCAGCTTAAAATATATCCATCTTTATTATGTTTCTGAAAAAAGGAAACCCGAATAAGTGGTTGATGAATTTCTGAATTGTAAAAAAATGAAAAAATACCTCCTATTGACACAGTCCAACAAGCAGGATTGGTTTTTTAAAAACTTTAAAAAAAATATTTAGACTGTAAAACAGAGATCAATCTGAAGGAGGAGAGTAATAATGCTGAAATAAAACTTAAAATGTATTTTAAAAGAAGCTTTTACTCCACACCGATAATGTAATGTAATGTAATGGTTCTGCAGAGCAGAAATGAAAACAGATTGATAAAAAATAAAAACAAAACTTTTCATTTTTCATTTTTCTATGTTGCCTTTGAGGCTTCCTTGAGTGTATGCAAACTGAAGACAGAAAACAAACTCAACAGACTGGTGCTCTGTTTTTGCCATTCCTATTGGGAGTTGACTCCTGAAAAGGGCCTTAGGGGACTTTGGCCCTCAGCCACACACGTCAGGTGTCACGACATGTCAGCCAGCCTTGGCCTTTGAATCATCCAGCGCCGTCGGTTTCTTATCACGCAAGGCCTGCAACCATATCTAAACAAATAAACATACTAAGATGAGGGAGCTTTAATTTCCCATTTTTCCCCCCAACAAAGATTTAGGCCAAATCAGTAGCATATGATATTTTAAAGCAGATTTCTTTGTTTTCTTAGTCATACAGTATATATATTATATATTTCACATTAAAGATTATTTGAACTGAAACATTATTTGAATGAATGTCAATCAGAGGACACCTATACATTCCAGCTGTCTGTTTAAGGTGACTAAAAATATTATTTTGTAATGTTCTGCATGATCTAATATGACTCAAACTAGCAAATAAAAGTAATCCAACATGGAAAATATTTTCTAAGTGGATATCAAAGACTTTTTGCGTTTTTACATTTGAGAGAATGTAAAAAGAGAATGTACAAATTTATCAAACCTGAGCTGAATTGGTTATACATGTAAAGAAACTCATACCACACTGAACTCAAGAAAAGTGGTACAAATGGGGAGCGATGTACACAAGCCTCTGGGGCTCATGGAAAGCACCTATAAATCTCTGTCTCCCTCCCCAGATGTGGGAGACTAAGGCAAAATTATAAGTTCAGAGGGCTGGCGGAATTTCTTTGAAATTTCAGGGTTGTAGAAAGCCATGGTTATTTTTGTGTGACAACATCTCTGCTCAAGCGGCCTCAGCAGAGACCTCCTTAAAGATCTTATGGTCTTAACAAAAGGATGCTGGAACGGGGTGTGATCTTTCTGCTTTTTCTCTCCACAGTCAAAGAGGAGACAGACCTTGAAGTGCGGATGGTCAATGGGAAGCCCAAAAAAGTGCGAAAGCCTCGGACTATCTACTCCAGCTACCAGCTGGCAGTGCTGCAGAGGAGATTCCAGTCAGCCCAGTACTTGGCCTTGCCAGAGCGGGCTGAGCTGGCTGCACAGCTGGGCCTCACACAGACACAGGTGAGGCTGCCCTCTTGTGCTGCTTTCTTATAGCAGGGGTAGGGGTAGCAAATGTTTTATACTAAAAAATAAATATAGGAAATGTTACAGTCTTATTTCTTTCTCTCATGAACTGTTATTGCTAATGATTTACTACCTCATGAATATTTTTTCTGGAGCAATAAAGACAGAACTTGAGGTCTATGTTGTGTTATCACGGCTGCTGTAAATCATTTCTCTGTTTTATGCTCAAGTAACATTCATAAGCCTAAAGAAAACAAATAATCAACTGCAGTTCGACTCACCTGGAACTGCCTCCCAGTCTTCTACTCAGAAACAGAGCATGCTAAAATCACAATCCTGACTGTGGTGTTGGTACACCTCTGTTTGAAGCAAAGAAGCATAACGACACATTTGGACTCCAATGTCTTCTTCTTTTTTACTTTTGTTTTGGTTGAGACCGGTAAATGTCAGTAGTTGGTTGACAAACTTGCCCATTAATGTCTTTTCATCCTTTTCTCCAGTAAGCATATCTTTTCATGTGCCTTGCTTGTCAGTAATTTATTCCCCTCTTCCAGCTTTGATAATATAGTTTTCCACCATTATATGCTAAATTAGGTCATATTTATAATGAGTGATATTCGATTTTCATTTCTAAGTTTGAATAATTCATTATTTTTCCAATGATGTACAGTTATGTATTTTTATTTCCTGTTCTTTCTGCCATTCTATAGTCTATGATTATATTCCATTCCAGATTATCTATCCCATCAATCATTGTGTTGTGATTTATAGTAACACAATCTTAATTCCTTAAGTATTATCATTTTTCAACCCATTCGGTTTCATCTTGTTAGATGGTATCATACCTAAGAACAAAGCATTTTTTCACTTAGATCAGCCTTCAGATATTTTGTATTTTGTGTTTTAAAAAGTCCCTGATCTATAGTGGGAAATGGTTTTCTATGCAACAGACCCCATCAGCTACATGGTCCACTCTGTTTACTAGCATCATCGGGGCTGATAGTCCAATGCCAAAACAATTTGTCAAAATACACTAAAAACACAGAAAATGCTAACAGAAACACTTAAATGAGGTAAATAAAAAATCTATACATGCACGTTGTCAAAATGCCATGCAATTTCTTTAGATAAAATAAATAAATCTAGGGAGGTTTATTACAGATTTACATATAGCTTTTGTAGCTGTACAGTGCATTTAGCTAGCTGGTGTACAAAGCAAACTAAATGCTTAGAGAGGCTAAAAATAAAAGCAGCTCACAATTACTTTCAAATTATGTTATTTTTCACATTGCTTAAAATATATTATATTCTTTCTTCCAGGTCAAAATTTGGTTCCAGAACCGGCGTTCCAAGTTTAAGAAACTGTTCAAGAATGGAGAGTTTCCACTCGGGGAAATACCTCTTGAACACAGTCCAGATGCCAGCGATTCCATGGCCTGCAACTCTCCTCCATCCCCAGCTGTGTGGGAAAATAACAACAACAGTAATAACAACAATTCAAGCAGCAGCACAAACAGCAGCAGTATCAAAAATAATGCAATGCTTGAACCTGCCAGCAGGGGACAGGGTCTTTATCAACCTACAGTTTCAGTTGATTCTTCATCCACTTACATGGAGGAGTACACACACCAGAACTGGTACGAACAGCAGGGTGCCCATTTAGGTTTGCCACATTCGGGCCAGACAAACCACGTACCACCCACAGCAGCATCAGCCTCACAAAGTATGGGAGCCGTCTATTAATCCTGGAAGGTGGACTCTGAAACTTTATATGAGCTCTGTGATGAAACACAGAGGATTAAAAAAAAAAAACAAATTGTTCAGTCAGCTTTACTGTTACCTGAAACACCTCACATTGACAATCAGACACAATTCAAAATGATAATGGTTGACTTTCTCGGTTGTTCTCTCTCTAATGCTTGCAAGTAGAGTTATAGAGATTGAAGTGCACTTTTCAGTGCAGACACTGATACTGAATTAAAATGACTGACTACAGATATTATTTGTGTATTATCGCTATTGAAAGATCTCAATATTTATGCCTTTAGTTTTTCAGTCTTTGCCTCAAAATAACATGGACATGTTTTTTAACTTTACCACTAAAAAATTGTACTGCTGAAAGTCATTACTAGAATTACAAAGAAAAAACTCCTCCAAATGAATTCTAACTTAACATATTTTTAAATAATGTTTTTTGTTTTTTTGTTTTTTTAGCATTTCAGGAATCTATACTGACTCCCTTTACCCAGTATGTTTGCTTTGCTAAGCTAACCTGCTGATAGCTGTAGCCACAGATTTTCGTAAAAATTCAAATACATTGCACACCTGTCTGGATATACCGATCATTTCTCTTTATGTCTTGCAACTGGAAGGTTAAAATGCCACATTTATCATTGTACGCCTAAACAGAGGCTATAGTGTCAGGTTGCATTGTGGGTGAATATTAATTAAAAGTTTTTATTTAGAGGAGACAGTATTTATGGCACTGTTGTTTGAAAGTACTTGTGACTACAAAGTGCTATTCAATGAGACCATGTAATGTTATAACAAGAACAAATATTTAGTATTGTGACAGTAATTTTTAATCATTCAAGCCAATAAGGAAACAAAGCTGCTGTCATACCTAAAGACTCACAAATATCAACAAAACTACTTTCATCCAAGGTCTATATAAATAAAGTGATTATACTGTTCTGATACAGCAAAGATACTTAGCAACCTTCATTCTGTCTTGTTCCTTTAAATGTTAGCTTCTCCATTACAGCAGTTTAAAGGTTTTAATTCGCCGAAAGACATGTAACTGAGAGCCATGACGAGCATTGCTAAAATATCTTTGCCACATTGGCATTATGACCAGTTTGACTGGGGCAGTTTTAGCATGTTGAAGGGCAATGTAGGCAATGAAAGGAGAGTAGGGCAGTTAATTAACTCAGTTTTGGAGGAAAACCCTCTCCACAATACATGTAAAGTATTTTTAGTTGTTTTTTTCTGCTTTCTTGTGCTGTAGGGTTATGGTTAAATTATAAAAAAAACTCAGATTAAATCATCAGATTAACATAAAGATGGGGATCTAAAAAGTGTATGTGGAATTGGATCTGCACAGGACTATAGTGACTTAGGTACTCATTCAAAACTCACTCAAACCTGTGTAATTCCTCCTTTTTTAAGGCAGTTTAAAATGAGCCAAGCTATAAGCCTACAACTCCCACAATTCACCTTAGTTTTATTTTTGTGACTTTCTTTCTGAGTTCAGCTTTTTCCACATATTTTAAACAGAGTGAGTCTACTCCCCAAAACAGCTTTGGGTTCATCAACCCACAATGCTGACATATTTTCACATGCTCAGTAGTATTCCCCATTTAATGTAAAATAATATGTGTGTATAAATACTGAAGTGGCCCTTTTGTTAACTGCTCTCTTTAATACACCAAGGGTATGCTTTAAAAGTGTGCAAAATTAGCAGGTTGGTCCCATAAGATTTTAAAAAAGAAGTTGTGAAAAGTCTAATTCCATGTTTTACTCAGGTTTTTTAAACATTTGTATTTATGTAAAAAAAAGGTATGAAGAAGCACAACACTTGGTGTCACTGAAGCTTTTGTTGTTTTCTTAAAGTAAGAACAAAAATAAAATGTATTTTGTGTATCCTACTGAGCAGCTAATGTCATTTGTTCACATTGACACTACAAAGGTTTTGTGCTGACAGGGCTTTACCTGTTGTTCCTGTCAGGGTGAGTCACGACAGATACAGGTTGCACCCAGCTATGTATTATACTCTCACATGCAGAGTGCGTGTAAATAAGGTTGTGGGAGGTGACAGTGCGGCAGACACTCTGGAGTCTGAGGATGCTAATAACACACCACTGACTCTTAGAGAGGTGGGTGTGCACTCCTTTCATGTGGCGTCCAGTTGGAAGAGGAGAATATACACAAGACCAAGAAACAAGCCAAACAAAGGTGTTACTTTGAGAAAAAAAAAAGAATAAGTCTGTCTAAAATATTTTCATGCGTCTATGAATAAAATGTCAAGCTATATTGGGAAACAAAGTGGTTGAATAACATGGCACTCTGCCATTTATTGGTATAAAAGCTGGTGAAGTGTTCCTTCTTAGTTACAGAATCACAAAACATTTACAAATATGATGTTAAGTCTGAATCAATTCTACATAATTCTTTAATTAACCATTGCAATAGTTTGGAACCAGGACTGCAGAACTATACATATGGAATTTGAAGTTACAAAAGCTGAGGTGACTCTAACTCTTTTTAAAATGTTTTATTATAAATAGATGACTGAAAGAAGGCTTACAGATTAAAATTCTATTGTCATGACACAGCAGATATCACATTAAATAGTGTGTGACAAAATTATAAAGTCAGTAAATATTTGTCAAGTTGTAAGTTTTGTAATTCGCCAATATAGATTTTATTTTCTATTGATATAATGCCTAATTTAAGAAAAGTAGTAAAACTCAAGCCATAACATACCACATCTACATCCGTAATATTATGTAATATTCTGCCAATCCTACGAGTGTGGGCCCATAGATCCCTCAAGACACCTTCTATGTTTGTTGATGCTCTTAGCTTCCTGTGCAGAGCCCTCAGCTTCCAGGTGTCACAGAGGAATGTTTCGAAAAAGCACAGAGAGATTGGCAGTAGGAGAGCAAACAAACTTGTAGAAACCTGTGACCTGAACTCCTCTGGACAAAAAAAGTAATTGTGAACTTCAGTTGGTCTATAGATAGCTGTTGTCAGAAACATCAACAGGTTGTAATCATGTAACAAAGGACACATTTTAAATGTGGAATACTGAAATTTGATACTATTTTCTAAATCTGATCCAAGAAAAAGAAAAGTTATGGCGAAGTAAGAAACGGGTGATATGGGGATAGTTCTTTGTTGTCTGGCTTCCACAGGCACACTCTTTCTGGGTACACCGTGCTTCTCTCACAATCCACGAAAATATTAGATTACTGAAGATTCTTAATTTCCCAAATGAGTGTGTATTAGGTTCTTTGTATCTGTTTGGCTCTGTGATGGACTGCCTGGGATGTGCCCAGCGAGAAAAGTGCTAATAACTGCTTCCACTGTAAAGAAGAACATGAAGTCCAAGACTGACAGCATGGCCCCATAAAGCCCTGGTCTCAACAGGTCTGTACGGGATTACATGATCAGACAGAAGGATTAGTGGAAGTTTACATATGACTTGCGGTTACTTTTTAAGACTATTCGAACTAGTTACTGAGTTCATTAAAAAAATCGTCATCTGTTTGAGTGTGCTTGGTTGTCTGTGCAGCCCTATGATGGACCAACATCATAGGGCTGACCAAGGTGAATTCTACCTCTTGCCAAATGAGAGCTGGATATTCCCTGATCTATATGTTAGCTTCAGCGTGCAGTCTTTTAAGCAAAAATCATAGAAAAGGCAACAAACAAGGCTTCATTTAATGTGAAATAGGGATGCCACATTTCATTGAATGCCAATTAAATGTGGTGTTGAGAGAATTCCCAGCCAGAAGTAAAATATCCTAAAGTCCTTCAGTGATAACAAAGAAGTGGTTCCAGCCCCTTTCTCTATTTCCCCTGTGTTTTCCAATGCTTTGCCACCTCTTTGTATTGACTCTATCTAAAATAAAAAAATATTATTTTGTATTATCAACTGACCTACATGTTGGGGAGAGAAAAATATGAGAAAAAAACTAAACAAAAATCCCTTCCCTACAGGCCCACACTACTCACTGCAGTATCCTACTCACTGCTCTGCCATGACACACACACACTTACGGAAACTCCACAACCCGCCAAAAACTAACCAAACTGCTCAAACAAATGACACCACAAAACTTTCTCCTCACTTTGGGCCAGGCCCGTGTCAGACACTGCAATGCAGTCGCAAGTTTCTTATCTCTACCCCCTCAGGAAAGCCAACTTGCCCTGCCTTTTTATTGTTTGATGGCTCAACACTGAGCATGGCCAGTGGCTTCTTTGAGAAAAAGAGCAGCAGCTCGGACCTGGAAAGATGGAGCAATACCTGTGCTTTATGCTCACTTTTTCTTTTTTTTAAAGCTTTTTTTCTTATAGCATGTGTGTTGCCCACTGGCAATGGATACGCTCACACGCTTTCATACCTGGATCGCAGGAAGAATTGGCTCTCGATGGGCGTCATGTTTTTTTTTTTAAATATATGAACATGTAACATAAAATTTTATTGGGCTTTTCCTATAAAACTTTAGTTTAAAATGTGATATATACACTCCTACATCCTGTATCAAATCTTGGGCATAATAATAAGAGTAATTGAAAAAATCCATGTGATTAAATGCATTAAAACTTTTAATAAAGGTCCAGCACTTTTAATATCATAAATTGATATTATATGGTACTTTCTTTTCTAGGAGTAAAGCCTGAGAATGTGTGATCTTGTTTTCAGTGCAGCAAATAATGTCTCTCTTGCCCCATGGCACACCTGAGCCATGCTGTTGAAGAAATGAAATGGTCACTCCCGACTGCAGCTACTGATGGAAATAACATTTCCATCAGTGATGGGAACATTATGGGATGTTAGTTCATTGAAATACTACAATGAAAGTTTCAACTTTTGAGTGGTATGTTTAATTGTTTGTCATTATGGGTCATTATGTAATCATCCATGCATTACTCTCCAGTAGACTGGATTAATATAATGGTCTTTTCACTGGGCTTCCCAAAAAGAGCATTAAACATCTGCAGCTCATCCAGAATGC